TCTCGCTGGCCGTCTCGGACCTGTGCGTGGCCCTCCTGGTCATGCCCTGGAAGGCGGTCACCGAGGTGGCCGGTGGCTCCTGGCTCTTCAGCAGCCGCTTTTGTGACACCTGGGTGGCCTTCGACATCATGTGCTCCACCGCCTCCATCCTCCACCTCTGCATCATCAGCCTGGACCGGTACTGGGCCATCGCCAGCCCCTTTCGCTATGAGCGCCGGATGACACAGCGCCTTGCCTGCGCTATGATAGCCATGGCCTGGGCCCTCTCCATCCTCATCTCCTTCGTCCCAGTGCAGCTACACTGGCATAAAGCCAAGGACATGAGATATCCAGGCTCCTGGCTGCCTGGGACGCCCCGCTGTGATGTCAGCCTGAACCGCACTTATGCCATCACCTCCTCCCTTATCAGCTTCTACATCCCCGTGGCCATCATGATCATCACCTATACCAGGATCTACCGAATTGCCCAGGCCCAGATCCGCCGCATCTCCACCCTCGAGCGAGCAGGGGGGCAGTGGCCAGCTCATGGCAAGGAGCCTACCTCCTCTTTGCGGAGTTCCCTGCACAAGGAGACCAAGGTGCTGCAGACCCTCGCTATCATAATGGGAGTCTTCGTTTGCTGCTGGCTGCCCTTCTTCCTGCTCAACTGTCTGTTGCCTTTCTGCCAGCCCAAGCTGGAGAGTGACCACGAAGGACAGTCACCCTGCGTTGGCCAAACCACCTTCAACATCTTTGTGTGGTTTGGCTGGGCCAACTCCTCGGTGAATCCAGTGATCTATGCTTTCAACGCAGACTTCAGGCGGGCTTTCAGCAGCCTGCTGGGCTGCCGGTGCTTCTGCTGTGGGACACCCAGATCCACTGTGGAGAGGGTCAACTGCAGCGATGAGCTGGTTTCCTACCATCATGACACCACCTGCCAGAAGGAAGGAGCTGCCTCATGGTCAGTGCGGCCCCCTGCTGTCAATGCCCGGGTGCAGCCCGTACCCCATGCTGTAAGCCTTCCGGGAGAGGACAGCAGTGAGGAGATGTCTATGGAGAAGAGGCCTGTGACTTCTCAGACACAGGCTGCCCCTGGCAGCAGCCCCAAGAGTCGTCAGGTGCCAGCCATTTTGCAATTTGATTGCAAGGCAGAGCCATCCCTGGAAACTATTACCCCCTGTACGGGGCTTGGTCAGTGTGAGGGACCCCATCACCCTGTTCCAGAGGGATAAGTGATTGTGCGTTTCTCACACAGCCATCCCACGGGGAGAGTTCACTCTGCCTGCACATGAGATACGCCCATCCCCCAGCAAACAAAGTCCCATTCCAGAGGGATGGGGACCTGCTGCTCTTACCCCAGAGGGGTAACGGGTATATGAAGTCCACCCCAAAAGCATATAGCAAACGCATATTAACCTCTTCCCACGGCCACCTTCACCCCTTACCCTTGTTCACAGTCAGTAGACATTTCCCACGCATTTGTTCACCCTCATGCTTCAATCAAACTTGTGATATTTATTAAGAATAGTGAGATAATTAGATCAAAATAAAAACAACTCATAGTTTGAGACTCTATAATATAATCTTACATAGATAAGTTAATCTTAGATTTAGTTTCATTGCTAAAACCCATTTCCCCCCCCCCATGGTTTCGCATCATACATGTGCATAGTTCTGGTCTTAAAGGTTTGTGTTTGGTTTTACTTCTGAGTTTATTTCAAAGCTGCCTGTCTGGATTTACATGTCTGAATCTGTGTTTAGGCTCTTAAATAAAAATTGCTCTATTAAAACATCACTATCTTACGTTGAGTCAAAAGACTGCTCAAAACCCTGGAAAATTAAGTTGCTTTTATGTAGGAGCCCAAACAGTTTCAGGTGCCAAACTTTGGTATCCAGGCTTAAAGATACTGTGCTAGGATCTTCCTCAAATGTTAAAAAGTGTAGTATTGTATTAGGCTGAAGTTACAGCAGGATGGTGTCTGAGAAGCAGCTCTACAACTCCAGTGAGATTTAAGCTGCTATCAGATGAGGTAGCTGCAATCCTTCTTTCTCCTACTAGTTCAGGCAGCCGATCCTTCCAGAAAGCAAGGTGGTCCACAAAATAAAAAGTGACCAGGTCATCTCTCTGAACCCATTTCACTACTTGTAGACATGAACAGCAGCAAAAGGCAGAGCAAGTGGGTGTTGGATGGCTTGCAGGAGAGAAAATACTGGGGGAACTTGACAATCATTTCTGCATGTGTAAAAGGGTTGAGCAGACATTAAGGGAATACAGCAGCACCTCACTGTCCTCCACTTCTCTGCCCACCACTTAGGAGTTCTGCTGCTGACCATTTAATACTGTGCTCCACTAACTAACATCATTACCCCACTTTTCTGTCCTTTGCCTATGATTGAGTTGATTGACCTTGATTCATCTAAGGGAGATGATAAAAATGCAACTGTCCAGAAAGAGACATCAAGAATGCTTACACTGCAAGAGTTTTCTTGGACATTGAGTCTTATAGATGGCACAGCTGATATCTTTCAGAACAGTGATCCATGCTGAAGAGTCAGCTGCTGAAAAGCCAGACTATCCTCCCAGTGATCCTGCTCCCTGTGAATTTAAACCGTGTAATTCTGAAGTCCCTGTACGCATTTCCCCCCATCACATTAATTCTTATGGGAAAAATTGCTTTTACTATCCTGCTCTTTTCAGGAATGTGTCGTTGATGGATAGTTGGATGTGACTGTAACCTGTTCTTTATGGCCAAGACTGGCAGGACAAGAGGTAATGGGCTTAACTGTAAGAAAGACAAAAGCAAGGCTTCAGAAAAACTTCCTAAGAATAAGGGTAATTAAGCACTGGAGTAGATTGCCTAGGGAGGTTATGACATCTTTCTTAGTAAAAGTCTTTAAGATGACATTGCTAAACATCTGTCAGAAATGACATTGGCATTGTTAATCCTGTCTTGGGGCAGAGGCACTGTGTAATGGTCTCTTGAGATCTTTTGTAGTCCTGCTTCACTATGACAACGCAACTCCTTAAGCATTGAGCTTAAGATGTTTGATTTTTTTTTTTTTTTGCATGCAATGATCCTTAGCTATTTTCTTGAAGGCAAAAAAGCATACAGATAAGAACTTGGAGAACCCATTTGTATATTTCCCTTCTTCTCTTAGTGATTACCCATTTTTCTTAGCATTTAACAACTATCATTCAGCACGCCTAGTGCCTCATCTGGAGAGCAACCCTGAAATAAACCTAGTATTTCCTTCAAAGAGATACAAGATCTGTGTTTTTTGTTTTGATTCCCTTTGATTATTTTCTAGGTGATGATACGTGAACTGTACATGGATTCAGATGCTAAAGGGTCAATCAATTTGTGAGAGGATTTTCCTTGCTACATTTCTTCCTTCTTACACAAACCAGAAACGTACCATAAGAGTGTCAGCATCTTTTATCTCCTCCAAAAAACCAAAATTATATCTGAGAACTGTAAGAGACTTCTCATCTCACCCACTCCACACTAAAACCCATCCTGGGGATATACTGACACGCCTGATAAGACGCTGTCCTGAAGTGTGACTCCCTCGCGGCCTGCTACACTTCTGTTTCTGTTGCAAGAGCTTCAGCTGGCTCCATCCCTCAGAGAGCTAACTCCCTGCCTGCACACATCTTCCTTCTCGTGGGCAGGCAGTCTTCTGGCAGTCAAGGCCACACATGAAATTATTATGCACAGGAGCTTTTTTTTTTTTAGTGTGTGTACAGTCTCATTATTAGTGATAAAAGCTGTTAATTAATGGAAGGGAAAGGTTTACCTTCGCACAAGGTTTGCCCTGCCTACGGGAACTGTCTCGCCCAGGAAGTAGTCTGGACTTACTACATAGAGCAATGAAAACTGAGTGCATGGCAGAGTAGGTGGCAGAAATGAAGCAATGAATATATCTGAATGACCTTTTCTCTTAAGAATAATCAGAAATGCATGGTAGCTTTGATTTACGAAACTATATTTGTGTTAAAAATGGAAAAAGCTATTTGTGTCAGTGCTTGTGGCTATAGTTTCAATAAGGTTCATTAATAGGTCAGATTGTACCTGAAAATAAATGGATATTTACCTGAAGAAAAAAACCTGGTCTTTACTGAAGCTTTTTAAAGGGGCAATTTAAAATTGCTCTTTGTAAGTGATGCTGGAAATAGTTATTTGTACCTGATTGGTAATGGTCATCACTGATGTGTAGATGATACATGTTACAATAGTTTACAGCTGTAAGGTCCGTTGTAGTAAGTGCAGTGTAATGTTCAAGGCTGTAATAAATTTCAGAAATTGCGTATTATAAACTGTTTATATTCATTTTAAGTGGCATATTGTGGAAGGTACTTCATATGAAAGCTACACCACATAGCCCTTCAGACTACAGCTTCTGCTGTTGCTGATTTAATAACACGTAAATATTGATACTGTATGTATTTTTATTTTCCTAGACTGGGAAGGCTCCCGAATGTCAAGCATACTACAGACCACACAGTTCTGTGAACAGTAAATGAGCAAGACTTATTTTCCCAAGAATTTTTTCTAGAGATCAACTGTGATTTCTAATTGACATTTTTCTCATGACAGGGCAAGCTGCTGTGTTAGATTACACAAGATTCAGTTAGCATTGTTAGGTCCAAGTCTGATGAGATATATTAAAATTATTACAAAATCCAAAGGTTTACTTCAGCAGAAATTAAGAGGCAAAATTACTTCCTGTTTACACCATTGCAGCCACTCAAACGAAACACCTTCCAAAGCAAAAACTTGGCAGCGCTTTGTTATCTGTTTCTGGGTCACAACTTTCTTGGCTTGGCAGGACAAAATGAATCACAAATGGCCAAGGTATTGTTTTAGGGAGATCTGTGGCTATTCCTCAAACACACTTTTTATAACTCAGATCATTAAATCTACATACTTCTTTATGGATTCACCACAATTTATGTAAGGTATTTCACTGACTAAAAGCCGTTCACTTCCATGCCTAGTAGTTCCACATTTACAATACCACTAACGTCACAGTGACCTAAAAAATAGCTTTTAAACAGCCTTGGTGTCAAAACAGTCCAACCTCACAGTCATCTTATCTAAACACTCTTATTAGCCAATGTCTAAATATCCGAATCAAAACATGTCCCGGGTCAGCAAAGTACAAGTGGTAGGGCTTTACAATGTATACCAAGTGCCTTCTCTGTTCAAATAATTCCCACTTCCTTTCCTTCTGTCAGTCTACAAAGTTCTCAACCAGCTACAGGTCATATTTCTTTATTACACAACTGAAATGAATACAGACTTCTTGTGGTCGGTTAAAAGCTTATGTAGCTGAGCTGCCTTCTCATTATTACATTGCACATGAGAAATAGGGATAATGTCTCTGTAACCTCCCTGGGGGGCTGTAAAGATGCTTATCCAGCTGAGAGCTTTTCCCCGCTGTCAGATTTCTCTGAAATTGTTCGTTGGGTTTAAAAGTTAAGCATGGGGGTAAACAGAGACAGATATGTGCATGCATGTGGGCATGCCTTCTTAGACAACTGGGCTAGAAAGTAAACACCGTTCTTCAAGGAAAAGGAAACTTAAACCTCAAGGCTGGTCTGTCTGGAGCTGGAGATACA